GCACAAGTTTGAGACCTCTGCAATAGGAGATACTACACAAAGACCTAATAAATAAAGAGATCTTACCCTAGTATCCCAAACTAATCAGAACACAGGGTGAACTTACATACAGAGAATATTTCACAATCAGGGGACTTCCACTGAAAAGGCCTTTTTTCTGGTCACTGGCTGCTTCCTCTTTGGTCTTAGGCATATTGAAAGAATAGGTCTCTAATGCAGATCTTAATATACCAACAGGTTCATAAGGAAGAAGAAAGTTTTTTAGTGACTGAATCCCCAAAGCAAGAGAGTTCTAATGATGTGTGTCTGGGCTGTCCTAGAATCCAAGCTGACTTTCCCAGGAGGGAAGGTTGTGGGGCAGGATAATCCTGCATGCCCTAATGAAACGCAGAAAAGGCCATGCAGGATTATCGTGCACCACAGCTGTCCCCTCCAGTTCTTCCCTGAGATTTATTATGGCCTCCCACACCAAAAGTTTCTTTATAACATCAGGGTATACAATTAAAACAGTTTAAACATAACAGCCCAGACTAAAAAACAGACTAAAAATAACAATAAAACAGCAACAACAGGGATCCCACAAACACCTTAAAGCCAGGCCCAGGAACTGGTTTTCTGCTAAAGGGCTTTCTGAAATCCCAGGAGAGTGGGCATCTCTGGGGGGATACTGTTCTAGAAGGTGGGGGCAGTGACAGAGAGGGCATGGTTCCGTGGTCCCACAAGAAGACAATGCTCAACTGAGGGACTGGGAGCACATCTACTCTGCCCAAATATACTGGGTGGGCAGAAACTACTGGAGATAGGCACTCCCACGGATAACTAGGCCCTATACCGTAAAAGGCAAGTGGCCAGGGCATGAATGATGTCTGAAGGGCCTCCCAGTTGAGGAAAGGGCATGCTTACTTTATTTATTTATATATATATATTGGCTGCCCAACTCCAATGAACTCTAGGCAGCAAACAAAATTAGAAAAAAACATAAAAACAGCTAAAACCCTTAAATCAGACAGATAGTCCAGAGTAAAATGATCTAATAAACAACAAGATCCACAAAACAAAACAGGGGCCTTAGGCAAATAATAAACAACAAACCCCAGGCCTGGGACCAAAGCCAGGCTTTCCAATCTTTCTGGAATCCTAGGAGAGAGGGCACCGGCCTTGCCTCTGGGGAGATGCTGTTCCAGAAGGTGGGGGCCACAACAGAGAAGGCACACTTCCTTGGTCCCACAAGATGACAGTGTTTACTGGAGAGGACCTGGAGCGCACCCATGCTGCTGGAACATACTGGGCAGCCAGAAATGGTTGGAGAAAGCGGTCTCTCGGATATCGAGGCTCTATGCCATACAGAGCTTTATAGGTAACAACCAGCACCCTGAATTGCACTCTAAAGCCAACTGGCAGCCAACGCAGTTCATGTAATTGTGATAACACATGGACACACTGAGAGGCACCCATTACTGCTCGTACTGTGCATTTGAACCAGCTGCACCTTCCAGGTGGTCTTCAAGGGCAGCCCCATGTACAGCACATTGCAATAATCTTATAATAAAGTGACCAGGGCATGGGTAACTGTCTGAAGGGCCTCCTGATCAAGGAAAGGGCACAACTGGCACACAAGATGAACCTGTGCAAAGACCTTCCTGGCCACAGCTGCAACTCCAGAAGGACCTTCAAGTTGTGCACCAGTCTTAAATGGGGAAGTACAGCCCCATTCAAGACCAAAAATGGTAACATCCCTGACCCTGGGGGTCCAAACAGCCACAGCCACTCAATCTTGTTAGTATTGAGCTGATGTCTGTTCTACCCCACCCCAAACCCAAACAGCCTCCAGATAGTGATGAACCTCTGCAAAGGCCGTCCTGGCCACAGCTGCCACCTGCTCATTGAGCAACAGCTGTAAGTCCAGGACAGCCCCCAAGTTGTGCACCAGTCTCAAAATCCAAGACCATCCCTGACACAGGAGGACCAAACAGCCAGAGCCATTCAATCTTGTCAGGATTGAGCTGATCTGTTCCTCCCCATTCAGGGCCAAACAGCCTCCAGACAGAGTTAGTATATTGACAGCTTCACCTGTGCAGCCTGGGGTTGAAATGTACAATTGCATACCATCTGCATACTGATGATTCCAAACTCCTGTTTCATATGAATGGTGAAACCACAGGAGTTTTCTGTGCCATCCTACTATCCCATGTTCAGTGAGACAGCTCCTCTGCAAGTAATAAAACAATTGGGTTGCAAGAGACATGCGGGCAGCTGTCTTTTATTTGAAGGGAATGTCCCTTAATTCAGAACATAGAAGAATACAGCAGCAAAGTCCTTACTTCAAGATCTGCGTTTCTATGATTGTTAATTTAAAAAGTTGCAGTTGTTCAAAAAAGAAAACATTGAATTTTTTTGAAAAATTGCTCTTATTTTTATTAAAAATATTTATATGTATTTATAAATAAATACTTATATTTATTAAAATATTTTTATTTAAAAAAACAGATACAAAAAAGGGGGGAAAGAGAAGAAAAAAGGAAACAGACAAGAGCAATACTCATAAAAACAGTTCAGTTTTTAAACCCAGCATTAAACCTTGACCACATAGAGTAATATTAATCAGTCTTTCCATTATTGATCAGTTCCATTATGTATTTTCAGCAGAAAGAAAACCAATATAATCAACATAAGACTGTAACTCTGGGATGGTACTGCCTTTCTATCGTAAAAGAGTAATGTATTTCTTTCTAAAACTTATATGGCTGCTTATCTTATGTACAATAATCCTAGTTGGCTCATAACAAAACCAATTAAAACAACAATTAAAAAATCATGTCACTCATACATGGAAGCAGCAGACTCCCCATCACAGTGCCATAACATCCATCAGTTCCACAACTATTGGCTCCTCCCCATCCTGGCCCCGTGCTTGGGGGAGCAGCCAGGGCTTCACAGCCTTCAGAAAGGCTAATATGGTGGAGCTTCCAGATCTCAGGAGGGAGGCTGTTCCAAAGGGCTGGGGCATCTACGGAGAAGGCACACCTCCAAGGTCCCACCAGATGACAGCATATAAGGAAGGGACCTGATGCACACCCACCTTGTCCAACTTGGTGGGATGGGCAGATATCCTCAAGGAGAGGCAGTCCCACAAATAAACAGGCCCCATCCATTCCAGGCTTTTAATGTGATAAACAGCACCATGAACTGCTGGTATCATAGTCTGTTTCCAAAAAACACTGATCACCTTTTTTGCTAGCAAGAATTTTTAGATTAAAAGTATGTTGTCTGTCATTTTTCCCAGAAATTAAGAGGTGGCATTTGTTTTCTTTCCATATAGAAGAAAAACTTACAAGTGAAGAACAAGAGCAAGATCTGTTGGCAACTCAAAGCTACTCATTGCTTGACAACAACTTTGATGTTTCCATAGGGAAACTACACTTTAGCCACACAGTGCCTATTTCTGTCAGATCTGTATTAGTAATTACCTTGTTTATTCTTATTCTAATATTCTAATAATAACAATGTTAAGGGGCTTCATAGCTGGACTCAGAACTTGTCACAATCATACATCTGTAGACCAGAGTTGTGTGATCAACAAAGATTCTTCAGCACAATTTTCCATAATGTATGAGTATTTTTAGGCCCGTGTCTATATCCCTTCCCTTGATGGAGCTCTGGGACTTTTAAATTCCTTCCAATGATAAATGGAAAATGCATGACATAATATCTCACTATGTTACTATCCATCTTTCTCAAACAGCAGGAGGTATCTGCCAAAGAAAAACAAGACCCTTCATTTCCAAGCAACCCAACATTGAAGCACAATGTTAAAATTAACAAAGACATAATTTTTATTGCATTCAACACATTACCAAATGTTACCAAATTTGCAGAAATCAAGGGATGAAATTACTTAACAGAGCAAAATACAAAATATTGTTTATACCCCTTTAAAGTTTGCTTATTCCAGATTATGATTTAGGATAAATTTTTCCAGATACAGATTGCTAAAAGCGATATGAAAATTACTGCACCATCAGTGAGATCTTTATGTCAGACTCCATATAGTTTATACACAGTATTTATATAGAGTATTTTTTATGACACATACCCATGGGTAGGGCTATTAGATGACAACTGTAAAGATCCTGCTACTACTTTAAAAGTTAAAAACAGTAAAAGATGTAAATATTGAGTCTTTTTTCCCATTTCCCACAAATTCCTTCATCCATTATCACTCCTAAAAGGTAAGAAGTAGGGGGCTTGGAGAAAAGAATTGATAAAATAATGGCACTAAATTTCTGCCAGACAAGGTAGAATTTCAAACTTATAAGAATTATACACAGTTTGGTTCATATATCACACTAAGCCATAGAATTATTTCTTTGTTTTTAGCTTAGCTCCTTATTGTTTATGGATCAGTACGTTGTGTTAACCCAACCACAATTCAATAAACCATGGTTTGATAGCACATGGTGCAAGACAGATCATGTGTTGTGCTACATCAGTTTCATGTATTTAAAAATGCTTTCTTGCTAAAACTGTGTTTACCAAAATGGTTAGCTGCTGAATAACTTGTCCTAAAATATTGCATAGACATTTCTGTCACTTCAAGTAAAGTGTTTAGGCTTGAGAATATCATTGCCAATGAAACATTTGACTAGAAACATGTGTTCTGTATGATCACTGGATTTTATCCATCTGGATGAATCAGCACTAACAGTATTACATTGGGCAAGCTCTTTTTTCTTGTGAAGTAATAATCAAATAAATGTCCTTATCTAAATCTCTGTTTACAAAAAATGCTTTCAATAGATGTATCCAGCACTATTGTGTGCTTTAGGTATTTATCACTAACCAGCCAGTGAAATAGTTGCATAGCAAAGAAAAGAAAAATGCTAAATATAACCTATTTACCACAGCTGTGATCTGCCTTGGATATTACTATATACAGAACATCAAGCATAATTTTAAATAGTCAGTTAACTTGCATGTTTCTACTGGGTAAAGGTACTCACCCTGTGGTGATATCATCATCTTCAGTCATTGTCTTGCCCATTAAGTCACTGTCACTCATGTACCCAGATTTAAGATCAACATCATCAGCATCAAGGGACTCCACCAGCTCCAGCCGGGAAATGTGGCTGAGCTTGCTGGGACTGCGCATGGGCATGGTGTGGGAATAATGAGCTCGCTCCCCGTGCATGTACCAGCTAGGAGTGCCTTCCGAGCGACATCCCCCGCCGACTGAAGGGGCATCTCCAGCTTGTAGGCGTGGGCTGGACTGACCATATCGCCATGAGAGAGGAGAAGAACGGTTGGACAGGCTGGATACACTGCGTGGATTGGCTTCATCACTATCATAGCACGTCATCTCCAACGAGCTGCAGGAAGAGAGCAGAAAGAAAAGGCTTAGAATTAGACCAGTGAGGGATTAGATTCAGCAAGGCACTTCTCAAAACCCAGAGTACAGCTGTCTGAGTTGCAAGGCAAACCTCTCAGACAGGACACCTTTCCCAACTTTAGTGATTGGTTAAAGAGTTAGTGGCTACATTGAAGGGAGTAGACCTGTTCTCATGCCCGAGACTCATTCAAAGTCACTGTCCAGGAGAAGGACAGCAGTAGCAACTCAAGGCACTCTCTAGGGATTGAAGTAGTACAGATAGTTAGCACTGTTTGTTATCTCTTTGCTACCTTCTATTGTTTGCCCACATCAGTAGGCACTGAGGCTGTCTCCTGCACTAACCCACAGCCTGCTTCTGCCTGCCACTTCATTTTACCTGCCCCCTTTGGCAAATGTCGTATAGGTGGTATTAGCCCTGCAGCAGACCACAACCAGGTTTGGTTTCTTTTTATTATTAAAAGTCTGGTTGGGGCCACCTGTGTCTAAAGGCCTCCAGGTTAGTACTTTGACTGTATTTACACCACTGATCAAGAGCTAAGAGTACACAAAATCACAGGGCTGTATACACAGGCTGAAGGATACCAGATTTGGACTCCAAAAATCCAGAAGGCCACTAGATTAAAGCAGGCTAACCCTTTACTGCCCTCTAGTGATTTCCTGGATTTCTGCAGTCCCAATTTAGCAGCCCTAGTTTTTGCACTAAGCTTCTTGGAGTTCAAAGAGAATACTCTTATTTGCTATTGCTCTCTATCTTTTTGTAGATTGCCAGTTCTGGTACCAAACAAAGCTCTAACATCACTAACTAGAATCACAGAATCTAGTGTTGCAGGCCCATCTTTCATTTATCATAATGTTCCACTGAAGAATCCTCTACAATACCTCTACCTCTGGGCCTATGAACTTTGGAAAGAATGATAAGCACACATTCCAGTAAACATATCACTGGACATCAAATACAAACTGATAATTATAACATCACTAACTAGAATCACAGAATCTAGTGTTGCAGGCCCATCTTTCATTTATCATAATGTTCCACTGAAGAATCCTCTACAATACCTCTACCTCTGGGCCTATGAACTTTGGAAAGAATGATAAGCACACATTCGCCATAGTTCTTTCGCCTTTCTTGAACCTTTTGCTTTTATTTAATTGGAATGAAGTGTGAGTGTTCCTTTTCTCTAGTACTGAAATGCATTTTCACACTGACACTTCTTTTCTTTTAAAAGGGGATAAACAGAAGCTAAGCTATCCTTTCACCCACACCTTCTGTAAAACCATTATGCCTTGTGAACAGAACCAGTGCAGATCATTATCTCTTAGCGAGGACTTGTGTAACTATTAAGCAAAGGCTTAACATAGCTGTGGCACTAATGCACATGAATTACAAGTTACAATTAAAGTATTCCTCTTAATTCATGGCTTACCATGGACAGTAATATAGGCCCTGAAACTGGTGTGTAAAAAGTACAAAAGCATGATCAACTCAGCTGATAACATTATGTTTCCTTTACAAACAAAGGCAAGCATCAGAGTTAATGGCCCCTGCTGATACTCTAGCTTGTAGGCATACATTTTATTTAGATTCAGTAAACATATCACTGGACATCAAATACAAACTGATAATTAAAACCATCTCTGGAATGGATTCATAACACAGGGAGAGATGGAGGCAGCCTGCAAAGCCTACATGTACAGTTTCAATAATCATATTAATAACAAAGCTTATCTGATTGAACTGAAATTAAATGCTAATAAAAATATATCACATTTAAAAATAAATTTGTATTCCATGCTTTTCAGGTGATACATGTACCCTTATTAAAGTTGAAGACATATCTGAATAATTGTTTTTATATTTTTCCCCAAAATTATGTTTTCCCAGCAATAGGAACAGCTCTTAATAGTCCCTACAGCAACCCAAAATCACATCTTAGAGGGATTATAAATTGCAGTTTGGGGCTTTTCCATAAGGCTGTTTTTACTTCCCTCATGCTCTTAATATCCAATCTAGAGTTCTGGAGAACTCAGAAGCTTCCTTGCCACTTTATGAAATCTGAGTATCATTGTAGCCGGAAGTTTTTAAACACTTCCAGCTTTAAGGAGAGCCTCCTGCTGGCAAAAATTCACACCACTTAGAATATCCATTGCATATTCCATGTCAATGATTTCCATTCTGAAACACTGCCTTTAGCTCAGTCTCATGGCCAGGGAGCAAAGTCAACACACTCCAGATTCTCAGTAGGAGGATCCCTTTATTTTCCATATGTTTAGATAGAGTGACTGACTTTAGTAGGGCAGCACCTAAAGGACATCATAAGCTTCGCAGCATTAAATTGTGTATTAAATTGGCTCTGGTATCTGGTTATCTACTTGCCTTCAAATGGCAGAAGCTTTGTGGAACAATTTTTAATAGCATGAAAATAAAACTAACATATCTAGATTTCACACATAACATGTTTTAAGCAGCAAAGTGTAACCCTTTAAAAAAAGGGGGGAAGATAGAACATTCATCACCGTTCTCAAAATCTATTCATGTGTTCCTTCAATGACTGAAAGTTACTTTAGCACAAACTAATAACAATTATTATATGAGGGGTGGAGGGGAATAATTAGGCTATTTTATACCAGTGTTATTTGGGACACAAGAAGCTGTCCTGAAGCTTTCTGACAGGAGTGGACAAGACTTAATATTGTCTGGGGAGTGAAGTATCACAGTTAGTGAGCACTAATGCAAAGCAGGGAGGATTCTACCACGTTGACAGGGTCTGGAATTTCACTTTTTCCTAGGTGTTAAAGGGAGCTTGGGATGTTTTCCTGATTTATAAATCCCTGTTAAACGTATTTAGGGTGTAGATTACAACTTTCAGCAGCACTGAACAGAAGGCACTAAAGGCATTAAAGAGCAGCTCTGAGAACCACAAGTTAACCACATCTGTTATACCATTTTAGATAGGAGTGCTAGCAAACTTTTTACCTGCAGGGAATATTTTACATAAGGGCACATTCAAAATGTGATTCACTTCCATGCAGTCTGAAGTGTGTACAATCAGGGAGCAACTTATTGTCTAATGTGGATGAATGTCTAGGTTCCATTCAAGATTCAATTATTTTTCTTTAATGACTTCATTTTGCAAGCACATCAAAACTCAAAATAAAGGGCAGGTCAAAATTTGAATAATGTGGGTGTTATCTTACTAAATATAATCCCTGTTCTTTAGGTCCCACTGATCTTTGCCCACTTTTGGCATCTCAAGTAAGTAATGTAAATGAGCAAGCTAACTACTGTTCACTCAAACAGCATCTCCAACCTAATAGTATCTCCAGCCTTCCAGGCAGAAAAGGCTACTGCATCTCTTCCCTACTTATTAAACCTATTTTTGGGAAGACGGTATACTTGTGTACTTCAGGGCAATGTGCATATGATTGAAACACTCTTCAAATAAACAAAATCCCTATACAAAGAAAATGAGTTTATCAAGGAGAAGGCTTTAGGATATTCCCCTCTGATACACAGCTTTTTTTCATGGACGCATACTGGTGCAGGCAGAGGAGAAACAAAGTTCAAAGAGAGTTTTGACCATAGTGCTGTTGTGTCTGTGCAAGATTAGTCAGGATTTTTTTTTTAAGAAAATGTAACTCTTCTACAAACTGTTGGGTTGATCCACATTTAGAGAACTCCTGGCATAGCAGACAAGAAAGACCCCAATGAGACCCAGGTGTTGAACAGTAGTCCACCTACATACCCACCACCCAGATATACAGTATGTCATAGTGTATGTTATTGAAATCTGCCAATAGATATAGGAGAACAAACACAGTTGCATTCTATAACATCTCTTTTATGGAACAAGTCGTCCTCCCAAAGCAGCCTCATCTTAGATAAAACCTCAACTGGAATAGGTCCACATAATCATTTTATCATGATGCATTCAGAGCTGAAAGGCCACAATTGTCTTTATAAATTATCCAAGAAACTGGCATATATTTGCAGAGATCTTCCAAGTCAAGGGCTTTTCCAGTAAAGATCTTATAATTGCCTTCTTTATATAGCTGGGAATACTTCCAGCATTTATCACCTCTCTCAGCCATGGGCCAATTTTTCAAGAGCGTGAGATTTTTCTTCTTGGAAAACTGCTGGATCATTGTTTGGTCAAGACAGCTATACAGTGATCCAATGACAACAAGCCAAGAGTGTTGGGACGAGTGCCATTTCATTCTTCTTTGACAGGTATAGAAAGAACTTGGGCATAGGAGAGATGCTCCATCCCCAACCTACAGATGGTCATCAGAAAGCCTATACAAATCCCCATATCTGCAGCCTTATGGCTCAGTGCTATTCATTTGTTTGTTTGTTTCAAAATGTATATATGGCAATATGCAATAAAACAGAAACCACAATAGCTAAAAGCTCTAACCAACAATAACCCAACAATACATTCATTGGAACCAACCATCATCTATACCTCTCTTATTCAGGAAAAGCTTTGAGAATTCCAGTGCAAGAGGAGGAAAACTAGCAAAGGAACTTCAACATGCATGAGGTCTAGTGCTAACTAGCTGACATTTCTTTTATTATTCAGTATATGAGCATTTCTAAATGAATATTTTTGACTGATTTACACATTATCCTTGGAGAAAGGTCCACTGTACTCAGTTCCATTTATTTTTTGTGACTAATTGAATTTCAAAGTGCTATTTCTTAATGTGTCCAAAGAGAGAAGATTCAACTGAAACTCTTACATGATTGTTTATGGGTGTAGCACACTAATTTTAGATCTAACAACTCTGATACCTAAAGTGAGAGGAGAAAAGAAAGCAATAGGCACCACTATTGATTGACTTATCATCTGAAGACTAGTTGACACAGAGAACAAATACAGAGAGACTGCTACATGATTACAGCCAAATGAGTTTAGAACAATGAAGACCATGGTGAAAGGAATGTAAGTTATAATTTGAATCTGAGGCAATGTATTTGACCACTCTGCGTTCCACTGTATGTCCTTTAATCATTGGATTTCCTGGCTATAACATTGGACTTAGATTGACTATGATTATTTTAACCTTTCCTTCAGAAACAACAAAAAGAAAAGCATTGTGGACTTTAAAGATTAACTCATTTGTGATGACATGCAGTTTTGTGGACTGCAAGTCATTTCATCAAAGGTATCACATGCTTCTCAAGTCACAGGCTTATGCACACATAGTGCTGGCTATACATATCTTTTTATTCTATGATGAATATATACAATATGTCTTTAAAAATGTTTTTTTTTCACAGATAGTGTCCATCCTTGCCTTGCGTCTGAAAAAGGGATTGCAGTTTATGAGTGCTAATGTTTTTAAGCTAAAAAGTGTCACAAGACTCTTCTTGATTCAACTTCAACAGATTAAAATAGTTACTCTTTAGAACCTGCTTCTCCAAGTTCTTGCATACATCACAAGCAATGAATGGATGAATGATTGGCTTCCTGACGGGCACAAGCGTAAGTGCAGCTGTTCAACATCCTTAAAGAAACTGATTGCTTTGAGTCTATCTGGCAGTAAGAGCACATGTAGCCAGTGAGACGCACAGACATTCTGTTGTATGATGAGTTGGCATCCTCCCATCTCTCAAGATCCATATGCTTCTCACCTTGCTTTTCCTCTTGGCTAGCCCAGCTCTCTCAAAACTAGCCTTCTGTAGAAGTAAAAAAATGCCTTGGATTTCTTCCATGAAGCAACCTCCCTTGATCCAACCTCGTCACATTTAACTAAACAAATCAGCTGGAAGCAGCCCAGCAGTCCTGCCTTGCTGGATCCCATGCTGCAATGACTCATCTGGGTGGGGTTCATCTGGCAGCTCCCACCCTACATGGAGTGAGGCAGTCAGTGTGAGACTTTTGTTCTGCATCATGAGCCAGAATCCCTTTTTGTGGTGTGGGGTAGAAAAGCAGGACAGAAGCTAAGAAACCAACTAAGCAACACGGAGGGAGCACTGCATTTAGAGAAGCAATCAGTCATTACTTGAAGTTCACTCAGTATATATAAACAATCCATGATCTGCATTAATCTCTGGAATTGTGTGCAAAATATTTCCAAATGACTCCAGGAGGGTTTTAGTAATTTCAAACTCAAACTGGTGCTAACAAGATACAAACAGGGTGACTCTCCTTGAGAAAAAAGCTAAATTTGCACTGTCAGAAACTAAAGCTTTATGGCTAAGCATCTCTTTCTGTGCTTATGTTATTATTAAAGTTACTATCCACACCCTGATGCAAGGCTCAGAATGTAATTTAGGATACCAGAGAGTTAAATGATAGGGCTGAAAGCAAAAGTGGGCAGAGGGTGACCATTCCCTAAGATGGTGAGAAATACTCTAATCACAACTTCCATGAGTTCACCTTGCCAGCCAACCCCTTCCCCACCTCCCACCAAATTACATTGACACATAGCTGTGGTTTGCTCACTGGAGGTCCAGAAAGCTGCTGTCACTGCATTAGCTCATTTGGACAGTAGGAAGCCAAGGGAAAGTTTTACTACAGGGAGGCTGCTGCCAAAGCTCAGGTCTGAGGAATGGGAGTGCTAGGATTCCAGCTCTGTTGAGCTAATTTCACAATTACTGTCCCCCTTAAGACACAGGGATGATTTAAGAAGTAAGATATTAGGATGATTCACACATGATGAAACCAGACATTTTAACTGTGGTTTGTTGACTAAGCCGTAACAGTTTGGTTCACACGTAATGCTAAGTTGTAACCCATGGATTCACACATCATGCTAAATCAAAACAAGCCAAACACAACTTCTGGGGAAGAAATGGCAAACAGAAGACGAGCCAATGACCGCGGCAGAATGAAGAGCCGGTGAATGGACCAGACCAACTCTTTGCGATTCCTCTCTGGAGAAGGATTGGACTGGGATCACCCACAAGTGCCCCTGACAGCTGCTCCTTGCAAGGAGACTGCGAAATAGAGGTCTCCAGTGGGTTTAGAGCACTGGGAGATGAGGGAAGCCATCGTAGCCCAAATCGCAGTTTGGTGCCTTTAGAAAGGACACAGGGTTCACATACTTCCTTTCTTAATCACTTTTGGAAGTAGCTTGTTAACTGCTTTTTGGATATTTAGGAACCTTCATAATGGCAGGTTTTACTACACTGAGTGAGTTTCCTTCAATCCTTAGTGAAAGATGTTTTATACAAGTTTAAGGACTTAAAAAATTCTTTTTTTCCGAGGAGGAATAAAAAGCAAAAAGGTGATTGAAGTGTTGATTTTGGAAAGTTATAAATGGACTAACAGTCCAGATGGATTTGATTTTGAAACTAATGATAAGAATCCTTCCCATGGAAAAATGCTGTTATTTTGAACACACACACACACACACACACAGAGTATATATGGGTGTGTGTATGATAAGGTGGGATTTTGGAGGTTGGATACTAGCAGGAACCAGAAAGAATTAAAGATTACAATTAAAGGAAAAAAGCACTTAAATTTGACTTAAATTTGACAGAATGGAGCAAAATACAAAATAACACTGGACGTATTAAAGGATATTTGTGAACAATGGACCCAGAAGTTAATTTTTACAATGTCAGCCATTATACACAGACTGTGTTTGGAAGATGATATGGAAGAGGAGAAAGCTTTACTGGATAGGACTGAGGCTTATTTGAAAGTAGATCTAAAAATGACAGGCTATGGGAATGATGTGGAAGGAGATGCTGCACTGGATATACAAATGAAGTCTTACCAAACCTGGATAGTTTTCTTCTACTGGATTTACAAAAAAGACTTGTTAAAGTATTGTGAAGAATTTTGTGAGAAGGGACAAAGAAAAAATGAGAAAAAATCAAGTTCTAGGACTTTATTTGAGGGGATTAAGGATCAAGATTGTTAAAAGTAAAGGGAAGGAATATAAAAAGAACAAGATTGTTAAAAATAAAAGGAAGGAATATAAAGTTGGTTTATTTGATCAAGGTTAAAAT